AGGGAGGGGGGGGGGGGGGGGGGGGGGGGGGGGGGGGGGGGGGGGGGGGGGGGGGGGGGGCGGAAAAAATATTTGTACATTTGAAATATAGTAATAAAAGCTACAATAATTTCTATATTATTAATTATATTCAAATATATGTAACTTTACATTATACATAGCACTAATAAGAACAAATGAGCAAAAACAAAACTTAATTACATCGTGTTATCACTTATACTGGTAAAAATTTCACAAAATGGACAAAATAATTTGTACGTTTAATTATCGTGTCTGTATTACACCGTTCCCTTTTTTAAATATTTCGGTTTATATGTTTTATATGTTTCGGGTTATAATTTTGCTGAAAGTAAAATGTCCTCCTAATACCCAATTTATCTGTATTTTCTTGTAAATTTCCAAGATTTCTATTTTCCCGACTCCAGAAGCACCAATACATCCCCGCGCTAGATTTCGTCGTCAGTTGCAAGTATTTATAAAAATATTTTTACAAGTACATATTACTTATGTATATTAATATTTTACAATATTATATTCCTCCAGAAGTCACACCGTTAGCGTGAATGTATTCTTCTGCTTTTTTTTTATTTACTTTGTTTTCCTCATGAACACTGCTGTTGTGTACGCAGCTTTGCCCTCGTCTGCCGTGAAGTCTAGTAAACAGCTCTGCATTAGGGTCGAGACACACTTACGTGCTAGGCTCGGTCACATGCCCAAGGCCGAGACATTCTTTTATAACACGACGTACACATTACATTTACGCCATGCCGTCCGGCACCGTCCAAATGTGTTTACCCTGGCAGGCAATCCCGGTCCAACCTTGCTTCGCCCGTGAGTCACACTACCAAAACAAAGCGAGACGGGACTAATACAATTTGGACAATGCGTCAAATCTTTCGTTTCAGAAGACCGTGTTACTTTCAATAATTTTATTAGCAAGCGAATTTTAGGTGATTTACGTAACAAATTTATTGCTTTGCAAACACATGATTTTATTGCTAAAATGTAAGATATATGTTTACATTCTACTAAATAGTCTACAATCGGTAGTGAATTCGTGGTGGTAACATATTTTTCAGAAAACTATGACGGCATTGTTCAAGACGATTTATTATTTCAATTATTATTGACAGTATATTGTCTATTCTTACGCACCTTTACACCGGTGCTCAAGCCACATCCATGCCAATGCGTCTTGTCAGGTTCACCGTACTTTCGTTGATGTCGAAAGCGCTTTGGCAAGCGCTACCGTTTTCATACCACAGTCCAGCTGAAAAATAATTATTTATTAATATAAACAATAACTAAATATACGGTGTGCCACTCTCTTTCTCTCTAATATAGAGATATGCTTCGAGTCTATAATTATTCAAAGCACTGTGTACAAACTTGTTTAATCAAATATAACTAACTTTTCGGAGAATCTCCATGTTCAAAAAGTTTGGAATGTTCCGATCCATCATTGTCGCTTTATAAACTTTGCGAATTTTCAGAGTTATTCATCCTTCGGTGGTTCGCTCGGAAAAGACGTAAAACACTGTTAGAAAGTGTCGTACAGGCTAGGTTTTTCGGAACATGGTAGCGACTGTCTCGCTACACTTACATCCGCAATGATTTGACGTACACATTTTTTACATGCCAAAGATAATCTTCCTATTCGAAGAAAATTTATTCGACGAATATTGTTTTTATTCGTAGCGTAGAATAAAATTTTCATTTTTTATTCGAAGGCTTCGAATAACTTCTGCCAGCTCGAATCAACGGCGTTGCCGTTGTCGAGCGAGCGTGCCGTCGTGCCAAGTTGTTCGAGTGGTTCAACTCGAATTTCGGACCAGTAACGGTAAGCAAACGGGGAGCCACGCGCGAATACAGATCTAAACTTTTACATTTTTTAATATATTTCGATAAAAATATTGCGAATGAATTTAGGAGTTTTTCCCGATGAAGATGAATCCAAATTCGTTCTTCCAACATTTTCTTTCTTCCATTTCTTTCTCTTCCCACACATGCAATTATTAATTAGGACGCAATATTATTTGCGCTAATATTGCGCAAGTATAATGTAATATAACGTAAACACTCTCCGAAATGCCTCTCTTTTTAGTATTTCTGATATATTTCTGTGTGATATACCCTCTCCGTACACAACCGTGTAATAATTTTTCTTTTTCCCAACATTGTTTCATTCCTTTTTATCCCCATATCGCAAACATTTAGCGACAACATGAACCAATGAAAGCATATCGTGCTTCAATAATCGCATCTTGTAAAAGACTAATCACCGACAGCTTGCAAATCCAAGAAGTACCAACATTTGAAACTATCGTATGAAAACGCGATGTGCTTACTTAACTAGAAAACAGATTACATGGTCACTGTACTCGTGAACATTTTCAAAAATCTCTACGTAAATATGTGAATTAAAAAAGAATTAGTAGTTTGAAATTTTAACATATTAAATATGCAGAAATATTGAAGTATGCGAAATATTAAATATTAACACGAGTTAATACACGAACATATTAGCTACATGTGTACCTGGGTGTACTGTTATGCTGGGAAGGAGGAAAGGGTGAAAGGTCCCTCGAGAAAATATTCTTCATCTTCTTTGTTAACGTAGAGTATATTGAGTAGGTCACAAACAGTATGTACAAAAAATGTATTTCGCCAATTTTACATGTCTGAACAAGACTAATGCGGATTCGGAAGTGCCCGTCAGTTTGGGTTACGGTTCCCTTTATACATTTTGGTAGACGGACTTGGGCCTTATCGTCGCATTGGTCATAGGCCACGTAAGTCTATGACCAATAGACCAAACTTTAAGATTAAGGGGTTGAGCAAAACGGGGCTGATTCTTCCTGTTTGGCTCGGAGCTTATCTTATGGGTGACGCAGCATAATAGTACAAAAATAATTTGACTCCTTCGCAATGTATTGTCCAATTGTTTGCATAGAGACTGGTATTTTGCCACAGCATTCCTAGTGTTGCTTACGGTCGAGATCCTCGGTTTGCTTATTGTTCGGTTAACAAATTTTTGCAATTGTTCAGAAATAATTTGGCACTTTTGCAATGTATTGCCTAATTGCTTACATAGAGATTGGTATTTTGCCATAGGATCCCCAGTTTTTTTCTTATTGTTCGGTTAACATATTTTTGTAATCGTTCAAAAATAATTTGACTCTTTTGCAACGTATTGTCTAATTGTTGCGTTGCACTATGTTTAGTAAGCGGTTCTTGTAATATCGTGGATCGTGTAAAACTTGCCAGACTCTCTAAATGTCGACGACTGTATCGTTTGAACTAGCGAATTGTGAATCATCTCGATTCTTGATTCGTGTCGCGCTTTTATGTAGAAAATGTACATGGTGGTGAACTCGCACTTGTCCAATTAGGCAACTTGTCTTTGGACAGTGCCCCCTTTGGCGTCGTGACCACTGCCAACTCCAAATTTCGTAGGGTGTAAAGGTGCGTCGTGTGAGCACCTGATATCTTTACCCCGCGATATGAACTATCTATCGGGTTGTAAGGCCGATTACGCTGCGCGACGGAATAGGACGATATCGTTGCCACTGATTCAACTTTTCAATGTCAACATAACCTTGACATAACCGTCCCTTGACATAACCTTGACATAACCGTCCCTTGACATAACCTTGGCATAACGGTCCCTTGACATAACCTTGACATAACCTTGACATAACCGTCCCTTGACATAACCTTGGCATAACGGTCCCTTGACATAACCTTGACATAACCTTGACATAACCGTCCCTTGACATAACCTTGACATAACCTCGAAATCACCAGAGATTTCGGTACGAAAACGTTTTAGAGCGACGTCTACAGTTTTCTTTTATTTTAATTAACCCCTTAACGCACAGTTTAAAAAAAAACCGGCCAGAAAATCAATTGCTTTTAATGTAAAAGAACACAGTTTAGAACATTGTTAGAACAACAGAAGAATATACAGCCGTTGATGACATCAGATAATTAATGTTAAAGTTGTTAATGAAAGGCCAGAAAGACGCGCTGGATTACGGCGCGAGGGCTCGGGTATAGTCCGGATCGAACCTCCCACCTTCCCCCACTCCCTAATATTTCTAGTACTGTGCCGGCGTGGTACCCTTTCCCTCGCGTTACTCGAAACGGTTCGGCTTCGTTCGATGATGCCCGAATCGTGTACCGATTCGTACCGGTCGTACGCTCATTTGGTCGGAACCGGACCATTCCGCGTATTGATGTCGGTTTTGAACAAGTATTGCGTACACACATGTACACGTGTAGTTAATATGTCCGTGTATTAGCACGCGTTAATATTTAATATTTCGCATATTTAATATGTCAAAATTTCAAACTACTAATTGCTTTTTAATTCACATATTTACGTAGACATTTTTGAAAATGTTCACGAGTACAGTGATCATAGGATTGTCCGGCAATTCTTTGAACGGTAATCTGTTCTCTAGTTAGATAAGCACATCGCGTTTTTACACGATAGTTTCAAATGTTGATACTTGGATTTGGAATCTATCGGTGATCGATCTTTTACAAGATGCGATTATTGAAGCACGAATGTTACGAAAAATGTTTTTTGTGCATTTATTGTATTAAATGTCATGGCACCGCCTAGTTGCATTAGAGATCATGCAACCCTTTCGGGTGCTCAAATGTTAATTCGGAAAGTGCGAGCTACTGCACAGAGAACGATATTTCATACTAATGGCGACTGTCAATGACGTAATTTTCACTTTTGCATGTGTGCATAAATTGCATCGGTTCTTTGAAATTGGAACTAGCTTGAATCGCACATAGTCCATTTGCCATGCGACTTGGATCTCCAAGGAATATGTACGCAGAGAATATTCATTTTATTCTTATCGATTGAAACGGATTAATAAAAACTCGCAAGAGTCTTCAGGAATTCAACTTCAACAAAATAATATTTACTCTACAATTACTAGTATTACCAATAAATTAGAATCTCGCTCGAGAAAATAATTGTCAATGACGTAATTTTCACTTTTGCATGTGTGCATAAATTGCATCGGTTCTTTGAAATTGGAACTAGCTTGAATCGCACATAGTCCATTTGCCATGCGACTTGGATCTCCAAGGAATATGTACGCAGAGAATATTCATTTTATTCTTATCGATTGAAACGGATTAATAAAAACTCGCAAGAGTCTTCAGGAATTCAACTTCAACAAAATAATATTTACTCTACAATTACTAGTATTACCAATAAATTAGAATCTCGCTCGAGAAAATAATTTACCACTGGGATTCAATTAAATTGCAGTACGTAATCGTGTGTATATAATACCCATTAAAAACCGACATCCCTACGCAGAACGGTTCAGCGCCGTCCGAATAAGGGAGCGTGCACGTGGTATGAATCGGAACACGGTTCGGTCATCGTCGGTTGGAGCCGAACCGTACCGAGCACACTACTAGAAATATTAGAGAATGGAGAAAGTGGGAGGTTCGATCCACTCTACCTGAACCCTCACACAGTAATTCAGCGCGTCTTTCTGGCCTTTTATTAACAATTTTAATATTAACCCCTTGCGGACGAGAGGCGACTCTCGGTAGCCACGGCGTTTCGCGCGGCAGGACGAATGGCGAATGAGAGGCGACAGTTGGTGTTTATGTTAGATTTCATTATCTCCAACATTGTTCAACGTACTATTTTATGAGAAACGAACAGCCACTTACACATTTGAACTTCGTAAAATTTTGATCAACAAATTGAGAGGAGATTATCGTCAACCACGAGATAGATCTTCAAGTTCGACAGCCAACTCTGACGAAATTCGTCTGAACGAGAAACTGCATGTAATTGTTACTGGCATAAAGAAAGATTGCAAAGTTTGTTCCAGTCGAAACAAACCAGGGGGAAGACATGAGACGACCTGTTTCTGTGATGCATGTCCAGACAAACCAAGAATGCATCTTGGTCAATGTTTTATAAACTATCACTCCGAACGAAACTACAAATCATAATTTTTGTAAAATTATATTCATAAAAGTGTGAATATAGATAAACTAACGAAAAATATAACGTTTTTATAAGATAATTTATATGTAAGATCATTTTATTTTACCATATAAGACACTCGACATATTTGCAAAATTCGCCTCGTCCTGCTATCTGACTCGGCCGAAAAAGTCGTCGTCCGCTAAGGATTAATTATCTTAAAAACTATATAAGCTGTCTGTCGAGTATCATTGAAATCAGATTTACAAGTCAGCGTACGTCGTAATGCAAAAGGACATCAATGTTAATAGCGTTTATGTATCTTGACTGTTTTAGTCTCAAACCGGCATAATTCCATTGCATCGTGTCGCCTACGTTAAAATACATCAAAGCATGTAGAATTATCTGACCTTGACATAACCTTTGACCCCAAACATGAAAACGAAATATGAAATTATTGTCTGTCGGTATCTCAAGATTTAGAGACGAATGCAGTAAAATGCAGTGCTACACGATAGAACAAAAGAAATGCACTTATGAGAATCAACACGGAAGAACTTGATCAATTGTAGTTTTTTCTTAAAATTTCTTTCTCATGTCATGTAGTAGTAGTTGACCTTAATACAATTTTGACAATAAGATTAAAAACTATGTTTACCAAAATCATCCAAATATATTTCTGAAATTTATTTTCTATATTCATTTTCTTTCAATAGTACCTGATGGGTGATGTGGAAATCTATTGGCCCGAGCATATTGTAGTCGCTACGGAAAGCGAGTCGCGCAACAACAGCCAGAAGGCGGAACCTCTGAAAATCGGCCGTCGCAAGCAGTTAATTCCGAGCCCAGCATTGCAACATTATAATGTAAATATTGTATTAATTATTTGTCCCTTATTCGTCGTACTGTAATAGATAATTTGTTCTCTTTTTTATTCGTGTTCCAGGTAATTGGATTTGTAAGATTGGCATACAGCAGGGATGTCAAACTCGCGGCCCGAGATGAACATTTTTGATGTCAAGTATCAGGACGTAAACAATAATTTAACTTTATATATGTGTATTACAATGTACTAGTCAAAATACAAATATTTGTTTCCACGAACATTGATCTTTTGTTGCGGCCCACATAAAGTTAAGCATTGTTTATTTGGCCCATGTTAGCTTTCGAGTTTGACACCCCTGACGTAGAGTCATACAGTACTCGTCCGGCAATGCATATCTATGACATCGTACGCACACACTGATACGAATATACATATTACTGTATGTTTCAATAATTAATTAATTTTATGATGTTAACTTTTTAAAATGATTAAATGATTAAAGCCAAGGTCTGTCTCAAACTTTATTAATTTTATTAAACAATCTAG